CTATCTAGTTATCCTTGACCATAAGCAACCTGCAGTAACTCATGAGAATGACTAAACATTTAACAGCATGAGCTAGACATTCTGTCTACTCTAAACATTTCTAATACATCATGTATCTAACCAATATCTATCTGACTAAAAATACCTAACAGAACTAAAGTTATGAGAGGTAACTAAAGGTATGAGAAGTAACTAAAACTTATAAAGTAACTAGAGTCTATAAGACTCAAATCTTACACCTTGTTTACACCAAGTGAATATCTAAACCATACCATACCAACTTTATTTATAAAGCACTAAAACAACCAAGGTGGACCAAAGTGCTGTACGTTGCAATAAACAATATATATTAAAAACACAACCCACAAGCACAAGCAAAATCAACACCAATATAAAAACATGAATCAATAAAAATAAATAAAATCAACACAAAAAAAAACATAAATCAATAAAATGAATAAAAACAACACCAACGGAAATAAATGAGTTTTTAAAAGGGACTTAAAAACCTTAAAAACTAGCCCACACAAACATTCACATATACTGTATTTAAAATGTGTTCTTTAGACAAACGTTGCTTTTCACTGGTCATAGAAAAACACGCGCAAATTTGCAGACACTTAGGAAGTTTGCAGGAACAAGTCCCAATTTAAGTCCCAGCTTCTGCTGGATGAGAAACACACAATACAGTGTTTCAACAAGACAAACAAACTACAAGACCATCACACTCTCCCCCAGCAGGCTCCAGTGCTATACAGCGCTGTTCTGCATTACTATAGTGGTCATGACACATGCACATGACACAGCAGTATACGCGGCTGACCCGGAATGCAAGCATGCAAAAAAAAAAATTGTTAATTTTTTTTATGTTATTTTTTTTATTTTGCCTAAGTCCCTTTTATTTCAGTTAAAATTAAGTCATAATTTCTTTTTTTATTTTTTTTATTTCAAGTATGTGGTTGGCCGGTAAACCTCGTTGGGGGGTTATGTTTGAGTTTTCTTATTCAACTTGAGCTAAAACAAAAAGAAAATAATCAATACTGATGCCAAACCATAACTTTTTATGGTTCTCATGTGGTACACCTAAAATGTGTTACCACATTGTTTTATTTATTGCATTATTTTAGCAATTGGCCAAAAATATATTTAATTCATACAGTCTAACTGTATACCTACATTTAATATTAAGAGACATTGTACTGTGTCATTTCCAAGTGCTTTCCAGATTTAATAGTGGGTATAGAGCATGAAAAGTGAGGTGGAACCTTCGTTTCCGGTGTGGTCGCCCCGCAGGTTGCCCTTAGCCAGTGGACTTACTGTTATCTCTGAGCCACAGTGCTTCTCATATTCATTGCTCTTGCCTAGTATATTATTTTCCAGGTTAGTACATGGTAAAACTTTCCAAAAGTAACTTTATAAAGCTTTGCTTTGCTTCTGTACAAGTATATGGGTTTACTAGGATGCTTGTTTGTACGTATTTGGCAAAAATAGTAAGTTAATTGTTCGTGGTTCTGGCTGGCGGTAAAGCGGGCCATATGCAGAAAAACCCGCGAGAGTTCATTGACTATAGCGCTGGAATGTGTTCATTTGCTTTATGTTAAAGAAATATGCACTGTCTATGTTTGATAAGGACCCGGTGTAAAGACATATGGTTATGCAGATTCAATTGTAAGGGCACAGAGTTTTATACTTCTCCATAAAATGGGTTTATATTGAAGTTAATGATATGAATGTATTAAAATGTGTTCTGTTGGACAGCAATTGAAGAGATGCAATCTGGACGTAAACGACAGTGCTCCTCGTATTCATTGCTCTTGCCTATTACATTATTTTCCAGAAATTCTTTCCTGCTACGGCCACTCCACCATTGGGGCCAATAACATCATATTTACACAGGTTATATTCTGATGGAGTTACACATATATAGAGTTATCAGATATTAGTATGACATATCTCAACATCAATTAGAGCGGAATGGTACAATAAATACATTAGGTGAGTGAATAAAACTCACTGCAGCTACACTATACTACAGTTTGTGGTGCTATCACTCTGTGGGTGGTGAGGTCACCTGTTGGCAGGGGTATGTAGATTCTCCAGCCTTCATCGTAACACCTCATCCATGTCCCAGGGGAAGTTGGTGGCAGCGAGGACCATCACCATCCTAGAGGGGTCATCATTCTCCAGGGCTCCACCCACACCTGGTTGCAAAACACACACAAAACCACAATTAACTAGAAAATGCACATTACAGTTCCATTCATGATCTCGAGATCTAAGCAGGAACTCAGTGAATTTGTTTTAGTTTCATACCAGGCCTTCTATGTAGAGTTTTACAGACTGAGATAGTTTGTCAGACTCATTCAGTAATAAAGTAGACTTTATCCCAAACATGAGTTTTCTTGAATTAACAGTGCGTTTATCGAACGAACTGTGTTTACAGCCTTGCATAGTCTCATCACCCATGTGAACTCCATCTTCTCTGTCTCCAACTTGTCTGTATGCAAATACTCCTACTCCCTAAGCCAATCAGGAGGCTCCATTGTCTCTATTTCCAGAACCCAACTTTTGGCGTCCAATAGGAGAACTGGATTTGTCTCATTTCCACTGTCGGCCATGATGTCTACAGTCTGCCATGCCCAGAGCTGGCAGCTGGCAAGTACGGCTTTTATTGGGCAAAAGGCGCCAAGATGGTGATTGTGTAACAGCTCTGTTAGGACATCTCCAAGAAATGCAACTCCAAACTATGTTTTTGGTTCTTTAATCTCATTACAAACTTAATTAGGTTTTCTCTTTACACTCTTGAGTGCGCGATCCTGTGTATATGAATGCAAGACTGTGAACACGCTTAACTTGACCGGGCTAATTTTTTTAGACAGCAGGCTAACCACGTTTTTGAAGAAGAAATGAGCGTCTTTAAACTCGGCAAAGGACAAAGTGTAGGCAACGCCAAACAACAAATTTGTTCTGGACGACCACTCTTACCCTGAGGTGAGCACTAATCTTTGCAGTAAAAAGCATGGATAAAACTGAGGATGTAACCCTACAGCCTTTACCTGATTCTCCGTTGGCCAGCCCAGCAAGAAAAAAAGAGTCTCACCAACGATCTCTCTTTGCAGGAACTGCATTCGAACATCATTAGTGCCTTAACAGTCAAGATAAATCAAGAGAGCAGACAAGCTGGAAAGCATGATAATTGACAATGCCAACACCATCAAAGAACTTAAAAATTCTCTAGAATTTGTTTATGGGGAAATCAGTGATATTAAAAAAGATAAGACCGTGCTGCTGGAAAACTACCAAAAACAACAAAACGAAATCAGTAGCCTATCTGACAGAGTGGTGGACGCTGAACGCTATAAGAGGAGATGGTGTCTTTACCTCTACGGCATGGCTGAAGAGGAGGGTGAAGATGTAAAGCGGAGAGTCTCCCTGATTTGCCAGAAGGTCACCTCGGAGCTGGGTGAGAAGGTGCCGGAAAGCACTGATATTGCACATACACTAGGCAAGCACGGCAGCTCAAATACAAACACACAACCTCTCATCTGGAAGAAAGCAAACGACAATCAATTCCTGCAAGAGAAAAGGCTCCATTTTGGTGAGGATCTAATGAAAATAAAGAAGGATGCCAGAGCTGTGTTGTGGCCAGTTGTAGAAAAAGCCCGCAAGAATGGTCAGAAGGCATACTTTATCGGTCCAAAGGCATTCATCAACGGGAAAGAGATTCGTGCAGGATAAGAACTATCTTCCCACTGCATGAGCAGAGATTTGTTAAGACTCACAATGATAATTATAAAATGAAATTACAGAATGCTAAATTGTGTCTCTGAAAGAATCATCTCCTGTTTGGTCTCTTGACCTGACATCTTTTGAACTAACATCACTGAAGTTCAACCCAGCCAACAGGAGAGACTGACTCTTAATAAGAGACCTATTTAGGGACACATTTATTATGGAAGTTATGTTTGAGTTTTCTTATTCAACTCAAGAGCTAAAACAAAAAGATAATAATCAATACTGATACCAAACCATAACTTTTTATGGTTCTCATATTTACACAGGTTAACAGATTTGATGGAGTTGTTCATTCCTCGGTTAACGTTCTCAAAGGTAGTTACATATTCTGATGGAGTTAAACTTATTTTCGGTCAATAGAAGAGGTTTACGAGATTTGATAAAAAGAAAAGCTCTTTTTCTGTTTTGTAAAGAGGTGAAAGCAGCTCTGTTATTTCTGCAGGAATGTCATTCATGTCCAGATCACTTGAAACTATGGGGCAACAAAATTTGGTTTTCACATGGCACAAATCATTCTGCAGGAGTAGCTATCCTTAAAGACAGATTTAAAGGAAAAATAGTTGAGTCAAGTAGTGCGTTATGGTTGAGTCCCACTCACCAGGAGGGTGAGGGAGAACTGAGGTAGGACTCAAGTTTGCAGACCCAGGTGCTAGTGAAAAAAAAGGTGGTTTAATGATGGTAACACAAACAAAGTAACAGAGTTCAGGTATACATACGACCAGATTTGGACAGTACAAAAACAGGGTAGGGCAGTGATGGCTGAGGAGACCAGGACGAACAGGTGAGTAGACAAACTAACCAGGAGGATGGGCGGACGAAAAAAAAAATCCACAGCCCAGGAACTGTCAGCATGGACATCAAATAATGTATAGTGAAAACACATACGACCAACGTACAAAAAGAAATCCATAGCACAGGAACTGTCAGTGTGGAAATCCAAAAGACGTATTGCTAAACACATGTGAACAATATATAAAAGAAATCAACACAAGCACAGTGACCGTCAGCGTTGAAATCTGCTCACTTAACACCAACACATGTATACAGGTAATGCTCTGGCGATGATGGAGTGTCTGCCTGAGGTTTAAATAAGGTAAGAAAGTAATCACAGTAAGGTGCCTCAGCTGTGCGCTACAACCAACGAGTCACTGATGACTGAATACAACACAGCTGAGGCGCCGATCCCACTGGATGAGAGAGAAAAAGGCAGAGGAGAGGCAGGCCACGCCGAGCGGACCTGACAGAGTGATCCTAATGGCCACTGGCTTTTGCTTGTTATTCAATTTTCAGAGAACCACTTTGTATTAGGTAATGTGTATGGGTATAATCTTCCTACATTGAACTTCATGCTACTTGACAAATTAGAGGAACAGATCAACTCCATCCATCCATCCATTTTCTTCCGCTTATCCGGGGCCGGGTCGCGGGGGCAGCAGTCTAAGCAAAGATGCCCAGACCTCCCTCTCTCCAGACACTTCCTCC